AAAGAACAATTTTAAAAAAATTGAACAGGAAAACCAAAGATAAGTAGCCGACAAAACTTACCAAAGTGTGTTTCTCAAAAATGCGACTTCGTCGGTGCTCCAGCAAAAAGTCTAGCAAGAAAATGCGGTAATTTCGTACGCTCACGGCCGGATCTTTGTCCTTGGAACTGGAAGCCAGGGTTTCGGCGAGGTCAAATATTGTGTTCGGGGTGGCAATGCCTGGGTTCTCAACTTGCGCTCGCACGGCCATAGACAAATTCAATTCACTGCTGGGTGTGAAAGTATAACCTTGCGGCAGGAGGTCCACATACCGATAGAGGAGCTGGTTAAGGCAATACAACAGGTGTACGGTTGCTTAATTAAGAAAGAGGTGAAAATGAAGGCAGAACGAATGAAGAATTTAAAACTTTAACTCCTTACCACTGGTTTCCTTAAATTCACAGTGAAAAACACTATCTATGTAGTCTGTACGCAGTCCAATTGAGGCCTTTCAGATCCACGGCTAATAACTACATAGATTGTGAGGTCAATGAACTATGAACGCTTGACTCTTAGTCTAAGAATAGAGGAAAGTCAGATTGGTTTGTGATACTTTGAGTGACAAAGTTTCAGTTTCCTGAAAATAAAACGACCTTGCCAATAAAGGTGAATATGTGAGTTCCAGGAAGCAGTTCAGAAGAAGGAGATGCGACCACTGGAACAAGAGTTTTATTGTCCTGACGTTTCGAATTCCGTCGGGAATCCTTAAACATAGGTAATGATATCAATCTGCGCATGACTATGACTATGATATCATTACCTATGCTTAAGGATTCCCGACGGAATTTGAAACGTCAGGACAATAAAATTCTTGTTCCAGTGGTCGCATCTCCTTCTGATAAAACGACCTATTAATAAAAGCGGTAAGACGTGTAGCAGACCCTGACGCTCGATCCCAGGACAGAGCGTGTGGGCTCAATCAAAAATCGGAGGACACTTTTATCAAAGCGAAAAGTTGCATGTTCTAGTCGCCTGAGTGACCCGCGCGAGCATTGGAAGATGAGTACAATTTGCAAGAAATGCCTACCAGCCATTCAAAAACAGTCTTTTTCATGAAGACTTGCCTCACAGACATTAAGAGAAGACTTTTCAAAGAATTGCTTAGCTTCTGGTAGTCGCCCGATTTCGAAGAAATAAAAGCCCATGAGGGTGAACACACGTTTGGAGCGCTAAAAAACAAGGGAGAATGTGAATTTTAAAAAATGCACCTTGCTGACTGAGTACGCGAAAAAAACGTGTGACCCAGATTCTTAGAATGAATAAAGTTTGCAAAACAGTTGAGGAAAAAAACACGGAATTCGGTTAGAACTCTGTTACAGGTGATACAAGGTAGACTTCTTGTCAGAGGAGAGCCAACAGGTGAAAATAGTGAGTTCACGAAATACTGGATAGGACAAGGTGGAAAAATGGTAAAACTACCACAGGTTTACAGCAAATTATACCCTAAACATACAGAACCCAGTTTATACGTCGACGACAGGACAGTTGGGTTCAAATAGATGACTGCCGAACATACATGTTAGATGTGTACAGAATGCAGTATTCTTCCGCATATGAACAGCAAAGGCTTAATTTAGTCTACGGCTTCCTTGCTTTAAAAGGTAAACAGACTGTCACTACATTAAGTCAAGATGTTAGGGTCTTTCGAATCATAGTGGTATTACTATAAATTCTGAGATAATTGAAACCTAGGAGTACGTCAGCGACCGTCAGAAAACCTACTCGGCATGCTAGTGGAAGTTCCGCGATAAAGACGAAACAAGGCAACTGTCAGAAATAGTATTGCCGGCAAAGACAAAGGAGACTGGAATGGGCATTTCCGACTTATTAGCAGTTGTTAACCGGTCATATCCAGACCCAAGTGGTACCCCACTAGAGCCTCGAACTTGCGACTTTTTTGACCATAGTCAAGCGCTCTAACCATTGAGCGACGAGTTTGTTGTCTAGCCAGTTTAGGTCAAGGGCTATTGAGACTCGCTAATGTTTCCATCTCTTACGATGGATTTTTGTACGAACTCTAATAATAAAAAAAATTTCTCCGGTGCTCTAATACTCTTCTTTGCTCATACACACGCACACACCTGCTAGTGGGACATTTGCAACAGTTCGTAATAAAAAGCATTTCAAATTTTGGAAATAAAAAAGTGACATTACAGCGTTGAAAAGGAGTTTAGCAGTGCTGCTTGTGGCCGGGCGTTCAGCACACAAATCCAAAAGACGACGATACTGTCGCTGAACACAGTCCTGCGCTTCAGCGGTACAACCAGCCAGTACAAGACGCCTTGCTACCATATCCCAGGTCTCCGGGCGAACAGTGTATATTTCGGGAAAGCGAACTGGTTGGCTGGATGTGAGAAAGAGCCTTTTTCCATCTAAGGACATACAGGCGGTCGAGGTATTTTTGACGATGAGCGTTTGGAGCTGCTCCTGATTCTTTGCACTGAAATATAAAAATATATACTACTACATGCTTTTCAGTAGGTATAAAAGATATTCAAAAAAACATTTGCGTCGGAGCCGCTGACCGCTTTGACAGTGCTATCTCCTGTTTGAGAAACTTTTTGACAACCAAAACAACGCTCTTCAGTTACATTACATCATCATGTTACTGATTTTCAAGGGTCAATTTGGGTGCCTGGAAGAAAACCAACGGACTAAGTGACTGCTTTGACTGGACTTGAAACAATATTGGCATAAAAAGTACTTGAGCACTTCGAGTTCTGGTGGGAGCAAACGAAATTCAGTACTCGACCCTTTGTAAACGGTACGGACCTCCTAGAATTCAGATAAAGTGTGACAGAGGAAATTTCGCATCATACAGGCAGACCTTCACTCAGGTAGCTAATTTAGAAACGTACTATACTAAGCCTAACTACAAATGTGCCAAAATTGACACACACTAAATTGTGAAGATAGCATACAAAACCTATATCATGTAGATACTTGTTGCCTTTGTTCATGTTTAAAAGAGAAGAACGACTGCGTAAAAATAGATAAAGCAAAAACCACATTCATGAGGGCAGGCTATGGAAAGCAAGAAATTTGCACGGGAAACAATTAGAGATTACATAGTAAATCAGGCGTATGATGCATTTCCAAAAACCTATGGAAACCCACCTTTTTTAAATTAAAGTATTAAGACTTAATGAAAAGAATATATAGGAAGTTGGAAAACAATGCAGGACTTTGGACCGAGCAGTCTGAAAGTAGAACTCATCCTAACGGATCCTCCCCTAATACAGGCGACCTCGCTGTCGTATTACCCAGTTTCCACGTATATTTTCACAAGCTTTCGTTGTGTTATAAACTCGTCAACTTATATCCCTGTTTGGGCCATCAAGCTCCGAGAAACGCAGCTTTCCAACTGCGTTAGTCTACCGATGTAGTAGAATACGTTGACAAAGTAGCTTTTACTTAAGAAAAACTAGTCACTGATCAAATAGGTACGACTAGGAAGCTGTGTCAGTGGATAATTTACAGCAGCCAACATCAGAATTCCGACAAGTTGGAAAGATATTGGCGAGTCCTTGAGGACATTATTGCCTGAGAAAGTATACCTAAAACCGATGCGCTGAGAGTTAACCTACGATGGTCAGATAGTAGTGAAAAACTAAAGCCGAAGAACGGTTTAGCTGCACATACAGACATCGGGTTCTACACCAAAATAATGGCGCATGCACTGAAAGCAACGTGAAAACGCTTACTGTGCACGCCCAGCAATTCATTTGAGCATTTCTGGAAGATAGTGGTGGCAAACCTGCACAAGGTGGCACTATTAGGAACGTACTATTATACAATACATCATCGGACAAAAGAGGACTTGAAACAGGTGTTTATAGAGTAAAGAAGCGTTTTTTCCGAGGTTACAAAGAACGCAAAGTATTCAATGTGTAGGTCATCTCTTCCGCAGACAGGGTTCTAGTCGATGAGGTTAGGCGAAAAGACAATAACAATGTGGTTCGTCTATCAAACCAGCTTGTAGCACAGTCAGCTGTAAGCCATAACCTAGGTTAGTGAACCAGGATCCCAATGAGACTTAGCCTACTGTCAAAATCTCGTCAGCAAAGGTCGCCGAAAATATTTTTATTCACAACGGTTTTAGCTTTTCAAAGACCAAGCAAAGGCCGGAACTGCGCATGACCCAATGTTGCAGTATCGGAGTGCATAGTTAATTAAATGACAGATAAGTCGTACAAAAGTATGATATGACAAGGAAGAAAAGGAGCTGTATTTTATCATTCGCAACAAGTTCGGACATACCGTCCAGGAGATCGATGTTACAAAAAACCTTCGATAGGAAGTGGTAAGTCACTTTTAGGCAGGTAGTCTTTGTAACCTAATTACAGTGGGAACCACTGTAAAAAACAGAAACTTGCAAAAAAAAACGCAGATATTTTTGCTAGGTGTGCAACTGACGAAAAGATGAAACTCTTAGAACAAAGCGAATGGTAGCAAAAGTAAATTCGTTTTACTATCTTCAGTTTCCAACTATTTTTCCACAGTAAAATAATGAAAATGTTTTATAATGGAAAATATCAGTCTAATAATTCTTAGTTTGTTAAGCACTAAAGCTGTTAAAAAGAAACTTAAACTATCTGCAAACTGAAGGCACCGTTACTGCTAGCTAAAATTATTAAATTATAAAAAACATAGAAAAGCGTCGGTCTAATTTTACTAATAATGAAGAAAAAGTTCGTAGATAAATGTCCATACCTGTGGATGGTCACAAATTCGTCGTCAACGGCAAAAATCAATGAGTCTTGACAAAATAAGGAGGACAGATTTGATGACAAAGAAATTGGCGGACGCTGCGATGCTCCCGTACTGTCCACGAAAATACCGAGAGCCCCAGGCCCTGAGAGAAGAAACTCAGTCTTCATGTGTCAAGGAATTTTAAACATGCTCACCTCCGACACCTGAGAAATAAGCGGCAGTACGTGTTTTTCTGTGCGTGCAAACAACTCATTGATGCGCCTTGTTTTTAAATCCAAACAAAGATAGTGGGTTGAAGTTGCAAAAACCAAAGAGTTAGTCGCGCAAAGCTGAGAGTCAATTAGTATAAGCATTGGCAACTTACCATTACTGGGGCAATTGAGGGGAGCTGTACACTATAAGTAACGTCACACCTTGCCTTAGTTATATGATATACATTCAGAGTGGTGGTTTTAAAACATACGGCCAACTATATTATAGAAAAGATTTGGATAGGCCTTACTGTACTGGAAGCATCTTTTGCAGTGGGACCTCTTTGGAGAGAGAAAGACACAACAGAACCAAGGGAGGGGAAGATGTTAAAAAGCTAAAGATAGATGGCCGGAATATTGACCGCTTACCTCAAGCGTTTCGGCATGAAATATCTGGAGTTGGTCTCCTGCAAGTATAATTACAATTGCTGTAGCACGAGAAGCTGCTAGATCGGCGATCGGGTATTCCTATCGAGATGGTCATGCACAGGATGAATTACCGTCACTTTCCGCGAAATTATCAGAGAGAAGGAGTAGCAGGTTATATTTTCTTCAGTTTCCTCGAAAACGCTTTGTAACAAAAGCCTCGGATGAAAAAATAATAAGTTTGAAAGAAAAATTCCCAATGCTTGCCTGTAACAGAATCTTACTGAAATACAGGAGACGAAAATATGATGAACACATTTACAGCCTAACCACCTGTCTTTAGCTAATTTTAAGTCTTTTGGGTTTTTTCCTCTCTCACCCTCTCGCTCTGGCTTGCCACTCTGTCTTAGCTATTAGTTTTGCCGCAATTAGATCTCGAGGTTTAGTCTCCATCTCCTATTTCTCGGGCCGTAGCGTGGCTCATTACTGTTTTGCCATCTATCGTGGAACGGGCTGACGTGTACCAATACACTTAATTTACCTTACATGGTCAGGCCATTTTGTAAAATATACTCAGAAAACATTCAGTGTATA